TCCAAAATCTCAAAAAGAGATTGGAAGCAGCCAAAGGCAAATGGCCCGAAGAGCTACCAGGAGTACTATGGGCGTACCAAACAACGGCCAACTCAAGCACGGGAGAAACTACTTTCTCTCTTGTGTACGGAGCAGAAGCCTTAATCCCGGTGGAAGTAGGGGAACCTACCTTGAGATAATTTCGGTAGGACGAAGAAACAAACAATGAAGCAATATTGGTCAAATTGGAGCTGCTCGATGAATGCAGGGACTTGGAGCATATAAATATGGCATCCCAAAAGAAGAGAATGGAATGATATAACAATCAAAGAGCCAACCTCCATTAATTCAAAGTAGAAGACTTGGTTTTAAGGAAAGTAACTCAGAACACCCGGGAGCTCAACGCAAGAAAGATGGGTCCAACGTGGGAAGGCCCCTACCGGGTGTCAGCTGTCACCGAGAAAGGGTCATACGAATTGGAAAATCAAGACGGAGTAAAGTTGCCGAGCAACTGGAATGTGGCACGCCTCAAAAGATACTATTGCTGATGGGCCTTGCTAATACTAAAAGTATGTGGTGCACTCTTTTTCCCTTCTCGCAGTTTTTGTCCCAATTAGGTATTTCTAGCAAGGTTTTCAATGAGGTAACAACGGAAAGCATACTACAAAGGAAGTTTCATCAGCAGGAATAAGATCTTAAAATGACAAGGCACGCAAACAACGGATCACTACGGAGCATTTATATAATCTTTTGCTTGGTAACAAAGTTCCCATCCGGAATTAAAATGATTTATCGGGCCAAGGTTTACCTAACCGTTCACGAGTGCAAGCCACTAGAGGGTTGTTAGATAGTCTTTGGGTCGATAACAAAGTTCCTAGGGGGAAGTGAAGCTTGCTACCGAACTAAGGATTATCTAACCATCCACTAGTGGAGTCTCCAAAGGATCAAAACTTCCAGTATTCAAATTCGCATCCTTCAAATTCGAAAATTGGTAGGGAATGATATAAGAATATGGCAAAAATGACTGCCACATCGACTGGAACATGGAACCCGGAAATAAAGTTGTATCATCAGGACCGGGGACTAAGCGACCAACCCTATAGGAACAAGTTGTACAAATCAGCCACAAGTAATGGAAATTTCTTTTTAGCGCAATGAATGTTTATGTACTTTTGAAAAATAGAAGGAATAAAGTAAAGTCCTTTTATTTTCATCTTGTTTCTTGTCTGAACGATTACTTAATTTTATCATTTGAAAGTTAAACAAGTATTTCAAATGCTAGTGTCGTAATGAACATGAGACATCCTCTTCAAGAGCACAATAAACATAAGAGGGCCTTCTCTTATGAAACCCACAGGTAAAGGGTTGATTCTGGAAGAGCTTATGCCCGAAACCTTAATGTTCTCGGGGAAAAACACACCTGGAGCCTTGCATAATTCGAAGCAAAGAGAAAAACTTGCGCAAATTCTTTAACAAAAAGTACGCAAAGAGAAAAGCTTGCACAATACTTAAACGAAAAAGTACTTCTATTCACAGCAAATGTGCCAAGTAGCACAAATACAAAAGTATGAAAAAGAAAAGAAAGCAAAAAGCTAAACTACTGCGCCCCCGAAATCCGGAGGAAGAGAAGCATCTGCACCCCCAGAGAAGTAGGCGGATCCGCTGCTGGCTCAATATCTTGGACTTCAACATCTTGACCTTCCGATTCTTCTTCAGATCCCAAAAACTCGAAACCAAAACCAGAAGAGCGGGTAGCATCAGGCTGGACAGGAGGATCCATGCGGGCAGTTGTCTCCAGCTCACAGGCCTTAGCGATTTTGGCATCAAAGTTAATGATGCCCGCTTTGGCCTATTCCAAGGTTTCTCTCCTCATGCTATACATAGCATATGTTTTTTCAACAAAGAGGGAAGTCTCTCGGCATTGGAGTTCTTCTTTAAGACGGTCAACATCAGTTGAAAGGCTATCCCGCTCGGAACTAGTGGCCCGGAGGCTGACATCGAGGTCACGGACAGTGGAGTTGAAAACTTTATTGTGCTCTATGGCTCCTTTATGCCTATCTTCCAACCGGGCATACTTCTCCTCCTCCACAGTAACTTCTTCAGTGTTGGAGTTCAAGCCCGCCTCCAAATTATTCAATCTTTTAGTAGAGGACGCCTCGCGATCGGATGCAACAATAACGGCATTATGGACCTCGATCCACTTTGCCCTAGCTTCTTAAAATTGTACCCTTAACTGGGCGGTCTCTTTGCTAAGGGTCAATACCTCTTGCTCGCTTTGCTGCAACCGAATCTCCAATTCAGCGGCCTCAGCAGCTCGTGCTTCCAATTTCGGGAGACGAGCAATAATTTGATCTCGCTCGGCTCACAATTGATCCTGCTCGGAGGTAAGTTCCTCCTTATCAAGTATCGAACTCTAAAGGCCCTCGGAAGCAAGGAAGTTAGCCTGCAAAACAAAAATGCAAACTCAAGACCCTGCTATAACAAAGATAGTAAAATTAACAGAGGAAACAAAGATTATACCGTTGCTGCGTTATGCATAGCATTGTTTAACAAGCACTCTCCCGAGAGAGTTTTTATTTTATTCCTATCTTTTTCTGAAGCCAGAGGCTTCAGATAATTAGTAAGTTCCACTAGCTGGGACAACAGATGGAATCCGGTAGAAATCGAGAGGGTGACGCCCCTCCATATTTGAGGATCTTCAGAGGGAGCAGAATAAGTGTGCCCCAAATTACCATGAACTGGGAACTGGAGAAGAGGGACGTATTTCTCTCTGGCAACTACAGCCGCTGGGGATGATGTAGCAGTTGCTGGTGGCAAAGGCAAGGTTGGCGAAGAAGGAGATGAAGTTATATGGTGTTGTAGGCTGAGAAACAACTGCGGCAAATGCACTATGGTTGTTGGTTTCTCATTAACCGAAGATGAAAGATACCCGGTACCCAGTCTCACAGTATCGGACACGGGAACTGCGACTCGGAGGCGAGAGTTAGCATCTTCTACCATATCATATTCCCTCTAGAGCGTCGGGGCATCATCTTCGGTTGGCGTAACTAGCTCAACAGATTGAACATTCTGTTAAACTGATGAAGATCGTCGTCTTCTATGTAAAGAAGCCCCCTCATCATTGGCTCCTCTATCATCATCGATCACCATGGTTTCTATGGCCGGCTCTTTCGCAGCGCTCATTACCACAACATCCATGGACGGCTCGGGCGTGGCACCTTTCGCCTTTTTGTTTTTTCCCTTGGCCGCGGAGGAATGCCTCCTTTTTGATTGCTTGTTCTCAGGCCGGGGACTCCGAGAAGATGTACTTGCACCAAAAACAGGCCTAGAGACACCTGTTCGGGTGAAACCCTCCTGTGGCACCCTCGCTACGTCAGCATGATCAGCCAAAATGTCCTCCTCGGAGGACGACAAATAAGCCCTGGAGTAGACCTAAATTCAACAGGAGAGAAAGGTTAATCAATTTTCCTATACGAAAGGTAAAAATAAGATGAGTTCAACCTACCATGATATTTGGCCTTCCACCCATATTTAAGATCTAGTTTTTTTCACGTGCGGGTCTCGGGCATAGTGATATCCAAAATCTTCTAGACCCACTGGTCCAAGCCTTTAATAATAGGTGGTGTCCACCAAGTTGCTGAAATAAGAGAAAGAAGAAGGATCAATAACAACATGGCGCAATCTTTAGCTAGAAGAAAAGATGAACGACAAATTTACGAGTATGGTTCCATAATTTCAGAAAAGATGGAGTCGTGGCGGGAATGATGTCCGTGGTGAAAACTGCAATGAACCATTACATCCACCCACGGTCGTTGTCATCATCCATGGTGCATAGCAAAGCATGGTGATCAAGTTTGCTAAAATTTATTATTCCCCCGTAGAAAATCTTGGGGGAATAAATGTTCATTAATCGAGCCAGAGATAGCTCTTCTCCCGTCTCCTGGCATAGACGCCGAAGACAAGTAACTGTCCTCCACACAGAAGGACTTACTTGTGCAAGGCATACCTGGTAACGGATGCAGAACTCCACGAAAATGGAGTCAAGCTCCCGGCTCAAGGAGAACGGTCCCAAAGTGAAATAAAACAAGTAAAAATACGTGAAACCTTCTTGTGTAAGGTTATCCGCTCCGCCAGATCAAGAACGATGATGGTTAAATCATGGCAACAACAGTCTTCCTATATAATAGGAATGCTGGAAGGACGGATGAAAGAAGGATACACGCCAACAACCCATGTGTGAGGGTTAGCGGAAGGATACTTCTCTACGAAGTCCTTAGTTTTGATGAGTTTTCTTGGAATAATGGTGCTCACCGTGGGAGGAGCAGCATCATTAGCACTACCTTTGTCTTTGAGGAACTTGAATTTCTGAAAGAAGAAGTCATTGTTATCAGAAGGGAGAAAAAGGCTTTTTCTGTAGAAGAAAATTGGAGAAAGTTGAAGACAAGTATGGATTAAGTAAAGAGAGTTTGAGAGAGTTTGGAAAATTATGAAGTGTAAATGGAGAAGTTTGATACGTATAAGCAAAGGAATATACGGCTAAAACCGTGACTATAATTACCTCGATAACCGAAATGTTGTTGAATCGTGGGATGACGCTTGTTTGTGGAATTAAATGCGGAGAGGCGTACTTCTAATCAACCGTCAGAAACTTTTCAGAGGGGATCAGAGAATTTCCCGTCGAAAAAGGTAGTTTTACCAACTTTCCGGTGACATAAGGTTATGCCACCGGAAAGCAGGGGGACTATCTGTATATGATAAAATATGTTCATATTAAATAATCGCATGAGAAAGCGATACATGAAGACGAAATAGAAGACAGTCAAGTCCGAAGGCAACGATCTTGAAGAGGATGGTATTCATAAAGGCTAATTAAATATCTGCCACCCTGTAGCATTTAATAGAGAATATTCTATAGCATTAAGTGCACGGTCCGTTACAGTGAATATGTCATTCACTGTCTACCGTTACACATTCTTCAATGGCCCTCATAATTGTCATTTAAAAGGGGCCTGATCCTAGGACCTTGTTCCCTATATGCAACTATAAATAGTGGGATCTACAGCCATTGTAAAGGGGATGAATTTTCTGACAAGCTAATATTATACTCTGTTCAAAAGCTCAATAATATTTTATCTTCTTGCTTATTAATACTATTACTACTGCCTTTGGAAGTTCTGCTCCCGGAATCAAGATTGCTACTGTCGTATCTCGATTTCTACGCTAAGTCTTATATTCTTGTCTAATTTATTTATTATTTTGGGATCAAATCAATTCAATTATCTATAAATCACGTATAAATTCAACTATACCGTTTTATGGGTAAACAATGATCTAGGGAAGGGAGCATGAGTTCACATTCTCCTGAAACTCCCTAGATACGCCCCTAGGTATTAGGATACTAATTCCGATATTAAATCTCGAATTACATATATCCATCTTTTTGTCATTGCTAATAGCTAATATCAGTATCAATATAAATTTTATACGAAAATTTTGGTTTTAATTATCTATTCCATAGAGAAAGCGGGAATAGTCCTGGCTATAACCAAAATAACAAAATATTACTAAACTAATTAAATTCTTAAGACCTCGCCAGCCTGTATAACCAAGAGAGCACTTGTCAGCCTATCTTCTCTTTTTATACACAAATCTACCAATTAAGCATTTTCTTAAAGAAGCTGCCTTTTCAATTCCCTCTGCCAAGTAGGATCCCCCTCTATTCCCTCTTTCTTTCTTGTTCGTCAATCAAACTTCCCCTACCCCCCCCCCCCCCCAAACCAACCCCTACAAATTGAAAAACAAGTTCATTTTTTAATCTTGGTATTCAAAGCTTATATATAAGCACCATCTATTAACTTCCAAGGTCATTTCCTTAGATTTATGCGACATGGGTAATTCTAAAATTAAGCAGAACTCGTCAGTTTCTGATTATCTTCTCTTTGTGTTCCTCTTCTCATGTCTATTAGTAATAATTCCCAAAGCAGCGGCACAGCCACAAAATAATCAAAGTGAGTTTCAATATGCAAAGCTCAATCCACCTTTGGCAATTATCATAATTGTTCTAATTGCAGCACTCTTTTTCATGGCCGCTTTCTCTGTTTACATCCGACACTGTACTCAGTCCTCTACTGGCGGTAGTGTTCGGCGAGCTCTGTCTTTGCGTCGCCGTGCTGCTGCGGCGCGTGGACTTGATGCAACCGTTATTGAGACTTTTCCGACCTTTACATATGCTGAAGTGAAGGATCACCATATTGGTAAAGGAGCTTTGGAGTGTGCTGTTTGCTTAAACGAGTTTGAAGATGATGAAACGCTGCGTTTAATTCCTAAGTGTGATCACGTTTTTCACCCTGAGTGTATTGATGCTTGGCTCCAATCTCATGATACTTGCCCGGTTTGCCGAGCTAACCTCGCCCCTCAACCCGATGAACCGCCGGCCCAAGTTTCCGAGTTGAACCAAGAGGGTCAACAACAACCGGGGACTGAGCTTCAACAGCAAAACGATGAAGTTTCTATACGCATAGAGGGTGACGAAGAACAAAGAGAACCGGTTCAGCAGCAACAAGAGGAAGGTTCAGTTAGACCGAGAGTGAAACGGAATTTGAGCTTCAACGTGACGAACCGGGTTCAGAAGCAAGAAGAAGGGGGTTCTGTTAAATCGGGAGTAAAGAGAAACTTGAGTTTCAACGTGCCGATTCTTTCACCAAGATCATTTTCCATGAAGCCAAGGATATTTAGCAAGTTCAGGTCACATTCAACCGGCCACTCACTAGTACTACCGGGTGAGAATTTGGACCGGTACACTCTAAGGTTACCAGAGGGGATTCGGAAGGAGGTAATGAACCGGGCATTATTGAACCGGGCTAAGAGCTTTGGAGTTGCCTTACCAAGAGACGGAAGCTCAAGAAAAGGGTACAGAACCGGTACTGGAGAAGGAAGCAGCAGGGGTGCTAGATCTAACAGACGGATCGATCGGTCCGAACCGGAAGGATATTCGGACCGGTGGGTTTTCACTATTGCACCACCATTCATTTCTAGAGGCTCATCAATGAAATCACCAAAAGTTGGAGCTGAAACCGGTGAGGGCTCCACCTCTGGAAGTGTGAAAAACGCCGTCAAGTTACCGTCGTTTAAATGCTTGGAACCAAAAGATGATGAAACCTCTTTGATGTCTGCTGACTCGGCTCGACCTCCGGTTTAGTAACTCTTCATTCCGGTGCAGAGTAAAAACGCGTCTCGCGACTTTTTGTGGGCTATGAAAGAGGACCGTCTTTCTCATGATAGGTTGGGCCCCCCCTTGAAAATTACGGCAAGGTGTAAATGTATAATAGCCCGAAGTTGACTTTCAAGAATTTTACAAGGTTTAGTAGAAAACATTTTTGTTATGTTTTAAAAAATAAAAAATCTTCATTTTTTTAAAAATATTTTTCAATTTTTTTTAATATTTATTTTAAGTTTTGTGCATATCTATAGTTGCTGTAATAAAAAAGTCTCTTGTATTTTATTCCTGATTGGATAATGTCCTCTAAGTATGTGTATTTCTTTTTCTTGATTTCATTGTCCAATTCAACTTTGGCAAAAAAGAAATCAAAAACGAAAAAGAGTACGAAATTGCTTTCCTTTTTGTTTATATTTGTTAGTCAAGATGATGGGGTTTGATATTGATTTTTTGTGATAAGTAAAGAATGGTTCAATGTCAAAGAAGGATTATGATTAATAGATGGAAGTGCTAGAGGATTATGATCCATTTTAAATTTTAATAATATTATTGGTCTTAAGCTTAATTTAGTATTTGGAACGAACCTTTCCGTAACTCTAATGGTTGTCTACCCATAGCTCTGTGCCCACAAATCTGAGAGAATTAGGCCTAGGACATTGATTTCGTACATAACTGATCTTGACAACTAAGTTTGGTTAATTAATTAATTAATTAATTAATGTATCAGAAGACTTTTATTTTCTGTATTCTCGAGTTAATGGTCAGTTTGTGAGTTTATTGGGATGTAGGCATGTTATCATAGTTAGGTGGTTAAATTGAATTTGGGAACATTCTTTTTAAATGTTAAGTATATGAATTTTAATGTATTTCCAGTATTTTCCTTATTTAATACTATAGTTTTAGTGGGATCCATGCATCGTCAATCTATAACGAATAAATACACTTTTCAATCAAAACAATCTTTTAATACCATTTTCTCTTGCCCATACTGTCTGAAAACTATATTTGCAACAAAAACAAATTCTATTTTTACTTAACCATTGATGTAAGACAAGATTTATTCCAAATTAATATCTATATGCCTATCATCACTGGTTTTCACTAAACTTAAAAGCCAATTCACCACCAAACTTTAATGTTCATATTGTTTCAACAATCTTTTTGTTCAAACAAAGTTGGAACAGAAAAGAACGTGCAAAGATTTCCTTTTGCCACTTCGATTTTATCGGTGAGCTACCAAAATATCCATATTTGTCAAACTTCATAGCAAAGTCACAAAGTCCAAAACAATAATTCATGTATTTGTGGTCCTAAAAGCTTCTTAGAGGTTTTGCATAAGACAAGTGCTCACCTTGAAGTATCGTTATCAGCTAATTAGTTACCAAACAAGGTTAGTGCTTCCTAATTACCTTGTATTCTTTAATTTATTAGTTTATCATGTTATAATAATTTGCGGCGATAGGTGAGAATTGCAACTATATCTTACATTACATGTATAATCTATATTAATAAATTGGTAGGAGCGCGCCTACTAAATGTCACCCGTGAAGCTGGAATCTAAACATATATAATATGAGTATTAATATGTTAATCTAGTAGTTAACAGAAAGCAACCAATAAAAATTTAACTGCACTCAATGTTTACATATAATCAATGACGCATGATATGATGCAATGCATGATATGTGTTTGTATATAGGCTTATATTATATCTCCATAATTAAGTAACATGTATCTTCACCTTATTAGATTATTTAACAATGATAAATTGATATAGTTTAATACGAAATGCAGGGAAGTATTTATCGGCTGCAATCCTACTACGTACCTATTTAATTGGATTGGCGATAACTAAGTTTTGTAAAGTTGACAAAGTTACGAAAAATTCCTCGGATATTTTCATAAATAAAATAAGTAACTAAATAAGCCCTTTTTTTTTTAATCAAAGGTGATTATTTTTAAGAATTAATTGTTGGGATATATTATTAACCATGCGGTTACGATATAATATTGTGTTTTATTCTTTATGAAACAATTGTTTATTTGATTAGTTCAAATCAATAAAGTAGTATTTTGAATAGATCATTTGTTACATGTATGTCCTTCAGTTATGTAGTAGAAAATTTAGTGTTTGAACTTTTAGCTCATGCACAGAAGATTAAATTGTAGGTTCTCATAATTAATAAACTATATTCACAATCGAAGATATTATCAGGCAAAATATCTTGATGATTGTAGCACAAGATTTTAAAGTATAATTTATCTTGATTATGGGAGTGATTTTACTCCGACTTCTTGTACTAGTATACTTAGTGTATATTGAACGGACCAAGTAGAGAAAAGATGTTTTTGTACTGAATATATATAAAACATTTTCTCTAATTCATTAAATGAGCTTATACTCCTAATCTTGATATAATCATTATGATCAATGTGATTTGTTTATTATTTTGATTTATAAAAAGGTACAACTCTATTCAAAGTTGGTGTATGCCTAATAGATTGGACAATAACGAATAGCATTTGTGGAATAATAATTAGTTGATAGAATCCACGACTCGGATCTGAGTTTGATGATACCCCTTTATGTTAGTTTATAAGTTTTCATGTGAAACCTGGCCAGTGAATTTTGTATCCGTCACATGAAATAGTTTAACGGAATTACAAAGGATTTAGTTAGTTGATCAGATTAAATTGTCAGTGATTTAATTTAATTAACTGGTATTTGTAATCTTAACATGGGGAGTTAAAATAAGTGTTAGTGAATTTTTGAAATTCATATTGAGGAGTTCAATTGCAGTTTTTTGGTGGAATAAACTTAATTAATTATAGTAAGAATTAATTCATCTAAATTTTTGAATTAATGCTATAATTGGTAGCCACTTATTGTTTCTATGGTTCATGCTATACTTAGTAAAAACCTTGACAGACTTGGGTAAAAAGTGAGTTGGGAGAAAAGTCATCCTTTTTAGTTTACTTGCACAAGTGGAATCCTGCATGTTTTTAGCCCCTTTTGGCTGAATTTCGGGTCTACATTAGGAAGACGTTTTTCACCCAATAACTCACTCTTCAGAATTGTATTTGCCCACCCAAAACAATTTCATCCAAGGTCTTACTAGGAGCATAGCAGAAGACTGCAGCCCTGGATTCTTGCTCTGTGGAGGACCTGTGCTACGTTTTCGAGAGGTTAGTGCTTCTAATCTCCTTATTATATCATTGTCTAGTTTACATGTTTGCGATGCCTGAATTGTATGCTTGCTTTCGCTGCGCATGTTCTAACAATTGGTATCAGGCGCCATCGTACATCTAACTAGATAATGTAATACAACATGAATAGAGTAATATTAATATGTATTGTTAAATGATACATGTTTGGTATGATATATATATATATATATATATATATATATATATATATAAAAGATACTATAATTATTATAATAATATTATTTTGAGTTCAATCATGGATTAACACACATAAGTATGTTATGTGATATGAACGAGTGAAAATAATCAAAACCCTAAAAATGCCAAAAATAAAATTTGCAAATAGGTCATGAATTTGGAATTGTGAAATTCTGTCGAACTCTGATTGACCTCAAATTTGGTAGGTTCATCGAAAACGACCCAAAAATGAGCAATACACATCAGTTCTGCTCATGACGTACGTTATTTTTTTGGGTATTCGGGGCCGTTTAGATGGGTTTTTGGCCATTTTTCTATTTTTTGGAAATTGTTTTCAATAATTTTTTTTTAAGAAAACGGTGATGGTAGGGTCCAATTTCCATGGTTTCCAATCATGTTTTAAAATAATATAATGAATTTATATATTGACATAGGTCTTTTTCCACATCGGATAAGTTCGTTATGGATCATTACTTTAGTTTTGCCTCTAGTTATTTGATTACTTGTATTAACTCTCCAACTGAGTTACATGTTGACTCAATGAAACTAGAGTTTATAAAAGTGATATTTACCTACCTTAAATTAACAGTTTACTCTCCATCTGAGTTGGTCTTGTTTTAATTTATAAGGGTAAATATCTTACATAACTCATATATATTGCATGAATAGTTAAGTTTCCCTAACGAATCTAACTGTTCAATAAGCATGGTTATATGTGTAATGTGCTATTTTGAATTTAATTATTCTAATTATATAACTAATGATCTATTTAATGTGAATATCTCTTAGATTAACCATGTCTTCATTCGACCCACTTACCTCAATTTTTAACCAAAACAAGTTAAAAGGATCGAATTATGTTGACTGGAAAAGAAACCTTGATATTGTCCTAACTGCTAATGGTTACAAATTTGTAATCACTGAGGAATGCCCAGAAAACCTGATGAAGATGCTACTGATGATCAGGTTAAGGCCTATGACAAATGGGTCAAGGCTGATGAGATGGTGCGATGTTACATTCTTGCCTCTATGGAGAATGTTTTGCAACATCAGCATAAGTCTATGGGGTGTGCTTATGACATGCTCGAAAGTCTCAAAGAGATATTTGGTGAGCAAAATCGTGCAGCTAAGCAGAAAGCCATGAAAGCCCTTTTGGACACCAAGATGGCTGAAGGATCATCGGTCAGGGACCATGTTCTGAAGATGATGGGTCTTCTGAATGAACTGGAGGTCCTTGGAGCTGTGATTGATAAAGAATCTCAAGTTGAGATGGTCCTTCAGACTCCGCCTGACAGTTTTCAACAATTTCGTTTGAACAATAATATGAACAAAATGGATTTGTCATTAGTGAAACTGATGAATGAGCTGCAAGTGGCAGAATCTATTATCAAACAGCAAGCTCCAGTTGTGACACTAAATTTTGAGAAAGCTTCGATTTCTAAGTCGAAAGGCGGTAAGAAAAAGAAGAAGGCTTAAAAGCTTTTGACACCTAGAGTTGCCGCTGCTGGTATGAAAAAGCCCAAAGCAAATTGCTATCAAGCAACTTGGATATCACAAAAGGCAATGCCCTACCTATCTGGCAAAGTTGAATAAGCAAGGTAATTCGAATTTAAATATTTTCGTTAAAACTTGTTTAGCGCCTGTCTATACCATGTTTTGGTGTGTAGATTCAGGAGTCACTAATCATAGCTGCACTACTTTGCAAAGGTTTCAGGAAACGCGGCGGCTAAGTGAGAATGAAGTTTGCGTTTTTCAAGCCAATGGCGACCCAACACCAACTTTAACATTAGGTGATATTAGAGTTTCGTTTAGTAGTGATAGAGTTTTCGTTTTGAAAGATGTTCTTTATGTACCTTCTATTAGAGGAATTTGATTTCGGTTTCGAAAGTAATGGATGCTAGTTATAATATTCATTTTGCTAATAACTCTGCTGTTATTAAGTTTAATAAACGTTTTATCTACAGTGCTTCTAGAGTACATGACCTTTTTATTCTTGATATATCTCC